TGTACGTGTACATATCTTAGTGTGTGTATCAAAATCTGGTATTCACCAATACTTCAGGTGTTAAATAACTCATAAACATTATAATACCACATAACAAGATCGAAAAATTCTCCCAAAATCAGTGACAAAGAAGAAAAACATGCACTGGCAATATGTTATCCTGGCGGTCGACCACGATTAAGCGGTGGTCAACCGCATCGCGTTTCAGAGGCTGCCTTGGCCTCTGTCTGGCACGTGATCGACCACCGATTGGGCGCGGTTGACCGGTCATGATTTCAAAAATTTCCAGACTTCTGTCTGGCACGCGGTCGACCGCGCTCGACCGACACACGAACAGAACCCCGTTCTGTGCAGGTTTTGATAAACTGTGTTTGTGCGTGTGTTTGTGATTTAAACTGGTTTAATTCGTCCTGAAACTTGTGTAGAATCTTGTAAACAACAGATTTATATCTCTGGGAAAAATCAAACATATAAAATATGATTATTTGCATAATAAATCGTAATCAAACTCTTAAACATGCAGAAAACGTCAAAGCGAAGATAAAATCATTAAAATTTTAGTTAAACCATGTTATTAATTACTCTCAAATCTTAAAACACTTCTGTAATTTCATTCTTAGACTTTTAAATAGGAAAAAGTCTGGTCTTTATACATATAATACAAAAGATTTGGTTTTTCTACACAAATTAGTCAATTTGGCTCTATAAAAATCATTGGAAACTCATTTAAAATTCTTTAAAACAGGGGAGAAGAATTAGCAGAGATGAAACTCACCTGAGATTTGATTAAAAATATGGAAGATGAAGTTCCAAAGTATATCTCCAAATCACAAACTCAAAATAACCCGAAATCCCGCTCTAAAAGCCTTTAATTTTTCTCAAAAAAATCAAAATAGAGTTTGCAGGGGAGTTTGGTGGCTGCTAGGGTTTTTAGAATACTAAAAACTCATGAACAATATGTATATATATTAGAGAAAATGAATATGTGCCTCAAATACCTGAAACCAAGTCAAAGCAGGAAAAATAGTTTTTAGGTTTCGTGGTCGACCGTGGCAGTCGACCGAAATGTGGTCGACCGCGACGGTTGACCGGACTGTAATTTTCCAGATCCTCAAAATTTTGCCTTTGTGCATATTTTTGACTCGTTCTATTCTCATGTATGAGTTTGTTTATACTCAAAATACTTGTTAATGTACTCATACACTATTTAATGATATTTATCTCAATAAATATCCACTTATAATAAGTAATCATATATTAATTCAATTTATCAATCATTAACTCAAAAATTTTGGGGTTTTACAGTAGTGTTTCCCACCAATGGACGTGGTGGTGGTTGGTCCCCAAACATCTGAGTGAACGAGCTCTAGCTTCTCCTTCCAGGAGGTTCTGCTACTTGTCTGAAAGCTGACTCTCTTCTGCTTTTTAAGTATACATTCTTCACACATGTCTAATTCAACTAATTCTAGACCTGGGAGTTTCCCTTTGTGTGCATGATCTTCATCCCCTTCTCACTCATATGACCAAGTCTCTGGTGTCATAAATTTGAAGTATCATTGCCTACTGCGACTGAGATCAAACATCGTGCACCTGCTGTCATATATAGGTACCAGTATTCTTACCTCGGGCAATCGTCATTGCGCCCTTGAGATCTTCCAATCATCTCCATAGAAGGTCATAATGTATCATTCGCCAGCCAACTGACCTAGGATATTAAGTTCTTTCTCAGGTCGGGAATATGCCTGACGTCCTTCAGCTCCCATACTAACTCATTCAACTTAATTTTCACTATACCTTTACCCATAATAGCACACGGTTGATCATCACCAATGTATACATATCTAAGATTTCCCGGGACATACTTCTCGAAGAATTCTTTCTGAGAAGTAGCATGGAACGGACGCTCTAGAGTCTAACACCCAAGGCTCTTCCTTGCTCTCCAAAGAGCATATCAATGCGTCGTCTCCTCCTGAGGTGGAAGTGACATTCACCTCTACCTTTGCCTCCTTCTCCTTCTGTGCACTCTTGCACTGATTCTTATAGTGTCTGGTCTTTCCATAATTCCAATACTTGATAGTCTTCGAGCTGTTACTTGGATTCCTTGACTTGGACCTCTTGTCCTTTGATCTACCTTTGTAGTTTGATTTGCCTCGTTCGTTCTCTCTGGTTAAATTTCTACCTCTTGACTCTGTATGTAATACTGAAGAGGTTGTAGCTTCACCCGACTCTCTCCGTTAGATCTCCTCACTGAGAACCAAATCATGAACATCATCGAACTTCAACTTGTTGCTTCCCAATGAGCTACTCCCAGCTGTGACTGTAGCATTCTAGCTTTCTGGTAGGGAAGACAAAAGGATCAATGCACGAACTTCCTCATCAAACTTAATTTTAACTGAACTCAATTGGGTTGTGACCGTGTTGAGTTCATTGAGGTGTTGTGCTACTGACGCGCCTTCCGCCATTCTCAGATTGAATAACCACCTCATCAAATGAACTTTATTTTCGGATGATGGCTTCTCATACATATTTGAGAGTGCTGTCATAAGACCTGTCATGGTCTTTTCCTTCGCTATGTTGAACGCAACGTTGCGAGTTAGTGTCAATCTAATAACTTCGAGGGCTTGTCTGTCTAGAAGGTTCCACTCATCTTCCTTTATAGACTCCATCTTCTTCCCTGAAAGGGGTTGATACAGATTCTTTTGGTACAGATCATCCTCTATCCACATCTTCCAAAATTCAAAATCTGTTCCATCAAACTTTTCTAATCTCATATTTCCTTCATCTGTGACCATTGCTCCCACTTAAATCTGACTTCCTCTAGATCGTTTCAAGCTCTGATACCAGTGGTTGGGAAATACCGGGGATACACTGAACCCCTAAAACAACAAGAAAACACAGTATAGAGAAAAGTACACCAAGATTTACGAGGTTCGGTAAACTTGCCTACGTCCTCGGGAGCTACACAATTAATTTCTTATTAATCAAAAAAATTACAATGCAAGAACAAATCTTAAACTTGAGATCTCTCAATAAATACAAATCAACACTATAGCTACAGTGAAGATTCCACCTCTTAAATCTCCTTCAGAAACGAGAGAAGAAGGGGACCGCCCGCTACAGCTTGGGAAAAGCTCGTAGATGAGCTTTTAATGTCGTCGCCGCTGGAACTTGGAGAAAACGAGAGAGAGAGAGACGAAAGAAAAGAGAGAGGAGGAGAAGAGAGAGATAGACGAGAGAGAGAGAGAGAGAGAGCGAAGCTACGAGATCCTTCTAGCTTTGCCCGTTTCCCTTTTATTAGTGAAACCCTAGCACCAGCTAGCGACCGCTAGTCCTAGCCTTTCTTGACCTTGCCAGCGTTAGGCGCGTGCGCTCAGAAGCTCGCCTGGCACTCATACCTCCGAGCTCGCCTGCGCCTCAACCTCGCCTGAAGCACGCCCGCTCGAGCTCGCCTGCAGATCTTCGAGCTCGCTTGCATCTCGTCGAGACCTCGCCTGGATCTCGACCTCGAGTTCAACCTCGCCTGCGTCGTCGACTCGTCTCGCCTGAAGGTCGCCTGCAAAGCTCGTCTAGCCTGAGGAGCTCGCCTGACCTCGCCTGAAGTCACCTCGAGCTCGCCTGACGGTTTGTGTCTACACTCGACACTAACAGAGTCCGCACGTTGATGCCGGTATTATTTAACAAAACATATCTATTGCCAAGTTGATAATATGGTTTTTCTATATAATTATTTATAAAAACATCAACGATAAATTTTTTTACTACTATTTGCAGAGTGAATCTCCAAACTAGTTAACAAAATAATACATCGGTTAGCTAGTTTCATTTATTTTCTTTAATAGAGCCATAAAATATTTATATTTATGAAATGTCTGATAACGGTTAAAATCATCATGTGCAAGAACAGAAAAAAAAGTAGATATAAACAATGCTTTCAAGGTTCAAAAAATTTACATTAGCTTGAATAGTAATTTTAAAATTCTGGATTGTGTTGCAGCAACTGCAGCATAAGGTTTTGCTTTTGTGTTAAAAAAAATTAGTAGATTGGATTTGCACTGATGCAAGACATGAACAAAACTCTGCTTCATCATGGATACAAACATTTGTCGCTCGGCGCTATATTTTTTCCCCCGAGTATGTTATAATAATAAAAGATAGTTTATAATTTGGCAATGGGGCTAAATGAATACGTGCGGGCATCATGGGAAACGTCTTCTAGCTCCAACTTGGTCGTGGCCAACACATAGGATATTACAGATAATATCAAAGCTCATTATCACCATCAATTCATCATTATCAAATTGAACCTTATGGATAAGACGATGAAGGCAAAAATTCTGGAAATTTGTTCTCACTATCCATAATGGATGCATCGAGGAGATTATTTTTCTAATAATTGATCATTTTAGGAGTATACTGAATTATTGCTTGTTAAATGTAGCAAAGTGAGACAATGAACACTTGTAATGATACTCATGCATAAAATAAGCACAACTAGCAATTTCTTTCTGATTTATTTCTTTTCATGGAGCTAAACAACATGGATGCTGGTAACTCAAAATGCATGTGTGATTGTTTTCAGTCAAGAAAATGAAAGCCTCATAGAACCAGAAGCCAAAACCATTAAAACTCTTCTATTGACAAATCTATCGTCTTTCATTGTCCATATGAAATTTGCGAATGTTTGACCTGATAATTGTGTCAGAGACATCAGCTTCGTCGAACTACAATTGAATTTGTAATTTGAGATAGCATTTACAGTTGCAATAGCAGTTGTTGGTTTTGCCTGTAACTACAGAAATTTGTCATTTTTCCAAATTGCTCATTTTTTTACAAGAAGATTGCAGTTACAGTAAAAAAAAAAAAGAACTACAACTACATCTACATGTCTCATATTACAAATTGCAGTTATAGTAGTAATTTTCTCAACGCAACTAGACAGCTGCAGCTGCAGATAACTCAGAATTCATGAGTGAAATTTAAACCAACATAAAAGCCACTTAGAGCTTCAAGCTAAACCATTAAAGCACTATTATTGGCAAAATATATCATTCTCAAGTTTCTAGATTAAATTTACAAGCTTTGCCTAGATGATTTTCATTCATAACTACAAAAGGAACATAAGCTTTGCTAGGTTTACAAAAATAATCCGCATAATCACCCATACACAAGCCTCAAGTACAAGAAATATATCAAAAACTAGCAGAAACAACCAACCAATATAATGCTTCAATTCACATAGGACAGTTCAAGAAGTCTGAGAGGAGCGAGCTCGAGCTGCAGCTCTCTCTAGGGCTTTTTGGCGATTAGCTTCTATGCGAGCCTTCTGCTCTTCAGTGAGCGGAATTCTGCTAGGTCCCTGTGAGGTACTACCTTGTGATTGTTTTTGTGTTTCACCATTAGATTTCTGCACGGGATTTGCTTCAGAAGCTGCTTTAGTGTGTTGCACTTCATTTTGTTCCTGAGTTGAGTTTCCAAGATTCAAAGTGTCATTGCATATACCATGAAAATATTAGGGAGGGGGGTGGGAATCCAGCTATCAAATAAAGGTTTCACTATCGGGTTTGAATGCAACCAAAGTCTTTGTCCCAAATTGTTGGGGACACCTACATGAAGCTTACTTTCCATTCCTTCTCATAAGTTAATAATTCATATTTAGTTATTATGCACAAAATAAAGGAAAATTTAAGGCTTCATTTAGATGATTTTCCAAAATCTGGAATTCTTTTACGGCCAAAGAGTTTTTTAAGAACCTCAATAGTATATGTTCAAAAATTTTCAGTACCCCAACGAGTCTAATTTCATTAACAAAATACATGCAATCTGACGTTGAATACAACATATGTGCATCATGGGTTATTTCTGGGATCTCAGACTATTTTAGTATCTCTACAAAAAGGCTGTCTTGACTGCTCATTATAAAAAAGCACTTTCAAATGCTGCAAATAATTTAACTCATGCAGGACAGCAGAGAGATTAAAAAAATAAAGATATTAATTTCCACGGAGCTCTTCCAAAGGGTGACAAGTCAACATTGCACATGACCTGTATATGCCTGCATACTTCCTGTCAGCAAACATTATCAGGAAAATCTCTCAATAATTAGTTTTAAGCAGAAAGTCATGAGAAAATCGGCAACTAGCATATGGGAAGGTATGACCTTATCGGTCTGCTCTTTGTAATCACATGATATGCAATCATGACTATCCGTTGTCTGATCTAAGATGTCATTGGGAGACTGTATGTTATAATGTTTTTATTTTTTATTTTATTTTTTGAAACTACGATTAACGGTCTTTACTATCATAATTACGAGTTAAGCTTCACATGATGTTGTAATAATGCTTCTGATTGTAGCCATTACTACCGTAATGATGGCACTCAGAAGAAAAGTAATTATGATGCCTTAACCCATCTCCGAAAACTTTTAAATGACTGCTCAAATGCCTTGCTGTTGGTATCAGTCTGCAGCATTCTTTATTAGTTAATATGAAATCAAATACAGACTTTCAATAGGCCACAAAAAGTTCAGTAGATAAAAAACAGGTAGAAGTATAAAAGATCTGAGACTAACCTCCGTAGCCTTTTGGTAGATCTCATCAAACATTTCTTCTTGCATCTCATGATTCTCGTCAGCACCATGACTTTCCAGTGGTGGTTCTGGTACACTGACATTTTGGTCGAGGCCTGTAATTCCTTACACAGAAAAGTTCATTATATTAGTACAAACTGTAATCCAGATAATAACTTTTTCATAGTATAAATTGCAGACTGTTGATCTTTTCATCTAATTTTCAGTCGCAATTTCTGCAATGTATTATCAATTATCTTTGAGAAATGAGAAGGGTTAGAAATCCGGTTTAAGGTAAACAAGTTAAAATACTATGGAGATTCATGTAAGATAGATGCCATCCAAAGTGACTTCACTTTTTCCTCTGACAGGTAAACATAGCATTCAGTTTCTACTATCTGTTAGCAGCAGCAAATTAAACAAAGATGTCACTCTTTACTGAACAAGAGTAAATCACTTGCAAATTTAGTGCAGTTTTACCTTGTTCGCAATCTGGGGCAACTTCTTCCACTGGTGGTTCATGTAACTTTGTGGGATCTCCGCCTCTTGCAACTCTTTCTCTCAGTTCAGAAATGCATCTCTGAATAGATATTGGAAAATTGGAAACAAGGAAGCGTTAAGACTCTATAAACTGGTAGAATTCAGTTTATATCGGCAGAATAAATGGTCAGCAGTTGAGATATTAAGCTATAATGATCTGCTCCGGGTTTCATTATGATATGGAAGAAGGTAAAAACAGAAATAAGCAAAGAATGACGAACAAAAATATTCAAGTATCATTTTGGTCCAAGACCAAGTTTAACAAATTTTACAACAAGCTTAATAGAGCAAAAACCTCATGCGTGCTAAGTGGGGTGAAATACTAAGGACAACCAAATCCTTCCTTCCAGAAAGGACTTGATTTGAAAAACAAAAAGACAAATTTAGGTTATACTAGTTTTGAGTTAAGACGAGATCATCTACTTAAGACAACTCAAGGAAATCAGTGTAAAATTTCAATTCAATAGTTTTCTGTACTTGATTGGTTCACAATAGATCGTGCATGTTAGACTTGTTTTTCAATGATAGGATCATAGTCAAAGTCATAGCCACATAATGGATCACAAAGATCATAGTTCAATAACAAGACACCCAGAGCAGAATTAATCATGTCGAATAAGTGGTATATTCTTTGACTAATATGCACCAAGGTTTTAAATATCGGTTATCGGGGATTTATCGAATGATCAAAATCCTTATCGGGTAGCGGAAATCGGGGATATATCGGGGTTAAGTAGTATTTATTGGAGTGATATACTGGATGGTGTATATATAATATAATAACCAAAAAATGTAATCTAACCATGCTTAATGAAATATAAACGTCAGCGGAGGTGAGCTTTGAGGTAAGGAAGGCGAGCGACGTCAGCGGAGGTGAGCTTTAAGGTCGGGGAGGCGAGCGACGTCAGCGGACGTGAGCTTCGAGGTCGGGGAGGCAGGTCAACGGAGTTAGAGAGGAACAAAGATCTTAAGCTCGATGGAGTTCAAAGAGGCTCGGAGGCTCAGAGAACAACCGCACATAGAGGGAGAGAGATTCACGAAGGATTAGGGCTGAACTTGAAGTTAGAAACTTTATTTTATTGTCAAAAACGGGTCGGGTCAGGTTTAAGAACTCACTAAGTAACAGCTCATTACCCAACAATTCAACTCAAAACTCACGACGATAAAGCCGATATTTTCAGCCTCCCTTATCGGTCGATAAGTACCTTTATCGCCGATAACTCGCTGATAAAACAATAAAACGATAACCGATTAAAAATCCTACTTATCCTAGCGGAAAGTTCCCAAATCCGATAACTCGGCGATAATATCGGATTATCAACCGATATTTAAAACCATGATATGCACAAAGCAATGGCCTCATGCATCAGTCATGTACTATCAGAAATACTCGTCAACACCATGTCAGCAGGACCTGTCACTTAATATTCTGTGTCATTCTGCATTTAGTCCCCCAGTCTTAGGCCCTGAGTGGCCTGGTTGGAGAGTATTTCACCTTTCCATCTTGTTTCCTGTATCTTCTTTATTTTATCTTTGAGACCCGAGACAAAATGTATTACATCCTCGTATGGGGTTCGCTCATAGCTTCTAGGAACTTTTTTTACCCTCAAATCTTCACAAGTATTACCAGCCTGTCTTCTTCCCAGGCGAGGCTTGCTTAGTCTTTTACAGTCTGTATGTGTTTGATGGAAAGGGTAACTCTATTTGGACACCATACTTCACCTCACTACTCCTTTAGAAAATTTTCATCGCTTAATGTAAGTCCTCATCTTCTTGTTATGGGTAGAGCACCATCGTGGTTCAGCTACTTGGATGCTGGAATGAAGATTCATTTACGCATGTGCTAGCCCTATGGTTTTTTATAAAATTTCTGAAGTGTCATTTTTTCGTGAACTCTGAATCATAGACATAGTTTATATGACGAACAGGAACACATCACAGTCTTCTATATGCTAGGCTTTATGGCTTGCCATCGAATATATATTGTTGAAATCAAGTGTATCCATCTTACCCATGCAAAACCATTCTGAAGGGCATGTTTTTCCCATGAATATCATGACGCAACATAAAAAAATAGAAGTCGTCATCAGACACCCAGAACATAAGGTCAACAAAAGAGTCAACTTACAATACAAAAAAAAACTAAAATATTTCTTCGCTAAAAGTAGAGCCTCAGTTATAAGGAGAACCAGCTTACCCGGACCCGCCTGGTGGCACCAACTTGCTCAACCTTTTGCACAAATTGATCAAAAGAGTAGTAGGGCAACAGATGAGAGTGCCACTGAGTGTATAGCCCGATGATATTACCTAGATCACTAACCTGCAAGACAAAGAAAGTGGATGTTCATGCGAACCTAAACAAAACCAGTTAGGCATGCAAATTTGAGTTAGTCCCCCCTAAGGAGGGAATTAAAAAAAAGGTGGTTTTTACTTTTTGAAAGGAAAACGAAAATGAGTGGTGCGGGTGATAAACTCAGGAGGACTATCTTCTGATATTAATATAGCAGCATGAAAATAGGAGGAAAATTGTAATAAATATTAGCACTATTATGCAGAAAAAGCAAAACTTTAATTGATTACAAAGTGATCAAGCAAATATCTCCAATGTGGGGAACATAAAAACTTTCAATGTGCAATCAAGAAAACTTGTAGCCGCAAAATCAAGGAAAACATATATTAAATATTTTGCTAAAAAGCGAAAATTTGGGCTTCATGGCATAATTCACAAACTAAAAACAGGAACTTACAAAAAAGAAAAAGAAAAGAGATCCTAAATTATCAAACAAAATAAGATGTTCGGCAACCTTCATACATGTGAAGAAAAAGAATCGCGTAAGAAACTCTTGTAAAAAAACCAATCAATTCGGATCTCATGCCGGCATATCACAAATAAACCTAGCTTCTTGAACAAGAGAGCTGAAATTGAAGATCAAACAGGCATCGGACAAACTATCCTTAATCACTAGCAGAAAGAGCATGCGCAACCAAAACCAGACCAAATCTTGTGAAACTAAACGGATAAACCCTCTACTGACCAAACAAGGTAGGACCTTTTACGGATCTCCCATTTAAACCCTAAAAAAGTCTAAGATTTCACTAGTCTAAAGATCTGAGATCCCAAATTGAGACGAATCACCTCATGACCGCGTCCATGATACTTGAAGGCCTTTGGGAAATGGCGAAGAATGTAACCAAGGCCATCATCAGAGAGCAACAACTCAGGCGTCAGCTTCGGCCTCGTCTTCGGAGCTTTCTTCGGAGCCGCCGCCGGATCAGCGGGCTTTTCTGAAGGAGGGCCCTTCGAGAACTTGGATGAAGATGACGATGAGGAGAAATTGGATCTAGGGTTAGGGTTAGGGTTAGGGTTTGCGGAGTTTGGGAGGGCAGAGGAAGGGGCCGATGGGCAGTCACGTGACCAGTGCCCTGGCCGGCCGCACTTGAAGCAGCCCGTCGTGCAGCCGGCCCGCCATTGCTCTCTTCTTTAGGGATCGATCGATGGATTTGATCTTTTAGGATCTCAATCTGGGCGGGAAAAATGGCGCGAAGTTTTGCAGAAAGGGGCGATTGGCGCGGGATTCATTCGGAATGCTCCGGTCAACAAATTAAGCAGGCTTTTGGATGGAACTGGCCTCGGCTTACCTTTGGGCTGGGCTTTTACGCTTCGACCCAAACTTTCAGGATTATTTTTATAAATCCCAATTTCTCAACACCGCTTTTATCGAAGGCATTTTTTTTTAATACGACCGTGGTGCATTGCACGTGTTTCCATTTTCCACCTAATGTATATTTTTATTATATATAGTGTTTCAAATTAGTTTGATTTGCAATCGACAATTTATTATATATCAAATCAATTTTCCCAGTCTTAAGTTTATATATTTTATTTAGGGTAAATTCAATAAACACCTCCAAATAGACTTCTGAACTTTTAAAATATAACAAACCTCCTTAAGTTTTAGGGTTCTTACGAAAACCCTATTAACATCGATAAAAAACCCCTAAAAGCATGAAATACAATTTTCATTGGCAAAAATATCACCCTGCATAAATTTATCTACATGTGAAAAAAACAAAGTCAACATTAACGCTATTAAGAAAAGTTTTCTAAAAATTGTTGAAAGCTTAAGGAATACACAAATTTAAGGGATATTATCTAAAGATTAGTAGGGTTTTATGACATTTTACGAGTTAAGTAATATTATCTAAAAATACCCAAAATTAAGGGATTTAATGACATTTTGTGAGTTAAGATTAGTAGGGTTTTATGACGTTTTGCGAGTTAAGTGATATTATCTAAAGGAATGTCCAAAATTAAGGAATTTTTTGAAAGGCTAAAAAACACTTGGGTACCTTATAATTTATTAAATTAACTTAGTTATTTATTAAAATTTTTATTTAATTAATAAAAACTAACTTATTAATATAAAATAATTTTAGCCTCAAACTGATAAGCTACATGACTAAGACAATAGTTTCTTTTTGCTCCTTTAATTCAACGCATGTAATCATGTAAGGAATCACCAAAAACCTTATAGTTAACAAAATCTCACACGAACATAGTTTGAGACGAAAAATAGAATGCGAAAATGGATAGAAACTTTAATTATTATTTATTAAATGAATCGCATATGTTCACATCATCTCCAAAACAAGGCAAAAAATAATTGAACACCTTAAAAACCTCAGTGCATAGTAATGTTGAAGCAACAAGAAGAAAAGCAAGTTATAGAGAAAGTGAGTTCGAGGATGCTGAAACAACAAGAAGAAAAGCAAGTTAGATTTAGCTCTTTTATTCCCTATCTAAATTTTAGCTATAAATTGGAATGCTGATTGGAAAAGTGCGCTAAATTTTTAATGTTATTTATAGTGACTTGGTGGGAGAGAAATAGTTATAACAATATTTATCATTAGTGCAAATAAATTTATATTTAGTGTATCAAGTGGTAGTGGACGAGTGTTATATGAGTGGGTGTTTAATTTGAAAATTAATGGCAATCAACTGGGAGGTTATGAAAAATTGTATGTATCTCATCATGCATGTATGCATGGATGTGCAAGCAATGAAGAGGTCGAGAAAACTTGAGCATGTATGTATCTTCATGTATGTATGAATGGATGTATTGGAGGATATTTCGGGAAGAAATGTTTTAACATGGCAATCTATTTTTATAATAGTACTAGATAGATTAGATACACCAGTCAAACCGTATGTATTTATAAATTTACCCCTCAAATCTTAATAAATTCAAGTTTGCCCTCCAAATTGTCAATCGTCCCTAATTTTACCCTCAAATCAAACTGTTGTTAGAATTTTAACAGTATTTAACCTAAATTACCCTTTTATTATTTTAAAGGTTTATATTTTAATTCATTTTTAGGGATTTATATTTTAGGATTCAAAAACATACCATCCACTTCGATCTTTTATTAGCTTGGCTTGCCATGACATTCTTGAGTTTCCCACAATAAAGATATCTTGAGCGCCAACACCTTTGTTGTTGTTTTTTTTGTGTTTTGTGTTTTTTGTTTTTTGTTTTTTTTGCTAAAAGAACTCCTCTAATGATGAACTTGTAAATAACATAGAGAAAGAAATTCTCATGATTCAGCATGAATAGAATAATTAATTAATGATGGTAGGTTAGAGCGTGTTATTATGAGCTAAAATCTGGACTCATACAGTGATGCGATGGGATATAAAACTGGGTTGTTCTTGTTGGGATCCAGCCCAATATTTTTGGGTGGCCCATTGATTAATAGTAAGGCCCATATTGCATTCTCTTTGCAAACAAAATGGATGGGAGGCGGACCTCATTTGGACTAGGAAAATAAATTCATGATTCCTTTCTATGCACGTGACATCCATCACATTCAGATCAGTTTTTTCGGAGATACATTAACCTGGGAACAGTTCGTTGAGGGGTAGCACGAATTTCAAGGGCGGAGAAAGAATAGTTGAGATTTGGGATAGCTCGGTTGTCCGATTACAGTGATTCAAAAGCCGTTGTCTTCAGAATGATGACGCGGTCAAGGATACAATGTTGATTTCTGCGTGAGAGTTGGAGATTTGTGGTGAGACGGTTTTTAGGGTTTTGGTGCCCTAGAGGTAATGCTGTATTTTTTCTTGTGACTTAATCCTCAAATTCGGGTGTAAGTTTGAGGGATTGTACTCTCGATTTATAGTAGAATATTGCTCTCTGGATTGCTCCATGGACGTAGACATGATTTACCGAACCACGTTAAATCTTGGTGTTTGTTTGCTTATGGTATTTTCATTGGTGTAGTTATTTGTTTAGTATTTAATTCTGTAGATTAATCTCCATAAAATTCCTAACAAGTGGTATCAGAGCCCTGGTTTGATGCGTGATTTAGGATGGAAAAGATAGAGAGTTTTGACACAATGATAAAATTGGATGGTTCCAATCGGCAAGTAAGAAAATCCAAGATGAAAGATATTCTATATTGTAAAGATTTACATGATCCTATTGAGGGAGATAAAGCTAAGCTAGAAAAGATGACTGATGAAGAATGAGAGAAACAACACAGGAAGGCTATTGGTTATATTCTGATGTGGATCGACGTTAGTGTGTTTCATCATGTATTGAGTGAGACTAATGTGAAGTCTCTTTGGAAGAAGTTTGAGGATCTCCACGAGCAAAAAACTGCAGGAAACAAAGCGTTTATGAGGCGGTTGGTAAACTTAAAATTTAAAGAAGGAAGCAACATAGCAAGATACTTGAATGAGTTCAAGAGTTTGATTAATCAGTTAGCTACCATGAAGATGACTATTAATAATGAGTTATATACTTTATTGCTATTGGGTTTTTGGCTAGATAGTTGGGAGACATTGGTTGTGACGGTCATCAACGTAGCTCCAGATGGTGTGTTATCAATGAGTATGGTTACTAGTAGTTTGTTCAATGAAGAGACTCGGAAAAAGTCTACCAACACAGATTACTCATAGGCACTTATCAACAAAGAACAAGGGTAGGAGCAGGTATAGGGACCAGTCCCGGTCGTGGCGCATCCAAAAGATCAAAGTCTAAAGGGAGAGGTTGCTTTCATTGTGGGAAACCGGGTCATATTAAGAAAAACTGTTGGGCATGGAAGAAAGAGTTAGGTAGGAACAAAGATGAAAAGAAAGATGAGAAGAAGAAAGCAGATAGTGATACTGCAGCTACTTTGTCTGAAATCGATGTTATTCTTATCTTCACGGAAGAAGACTGTATGCATTTTATAAGTTAGAATTCTGAGTGGATAGTGAATACAGAAGCTAAATGTCATGCTACCTCCAATCAGAATCTTTTCACGTTATATAAATAGAAGACTTTGACAATATGAAGGTGGATAATACTAGCTACTCGAAGATTGTGGGGCTTGGTGACATTCTCTTGCAGACATATATTGGATGCACAATGATTTTGAATAATGTGCGACATGTTCTCAATTTGTGGCTCAACTTGATTTTGGTTCTTACTTTGAACCAAATGAGATATCAAATCAATTTGGTGGAGGAAAATGTAAAATCATCAAAGGCTCTCTTGTGGTGGCTAGAGGAAATGTATGTTACAATTTATACAAGACTCAAGTGAAGGCTTTATATGATTCTTTGAGTGTGGCTCAAGACGCTGATACTCTCAGTTTGTGGCATAGGAGGCTCGAGCACATGAGCGAGAAGGGGTCGTAGGTATTGGCAAAGAAGTCTCTCATTGCCTTTGCCAAATGTTTGTCACTCACCTCTTATGATTGTTGTTTGTTTAGCAAATAACATAGAGTTTCTTTTAGTAAGCCTTCTAAAAGCAAAGATAATATCCTAGATTTAATTTATTCTGATGTTTGTGGTCCTATCGAGGTGGAGTCGTTATGTGGCAATAAGTATTTTGTCATATTTATTGATAAGGCATCACAAAATATGTGGGTCTTCTTGTTAAGAACAAAGGATCAGATGTTTTCAGTCATCCAGCAGTTTCATGCTATTGTGGGGAAGTAGACAGGAAAGAAGTTAAAATGTTTGCGCATCGATAATGAAGAGAACACACTTCCATTGAGTTTAGAGATTATTACTCTAAATATGGTATTCAGCATTAGAGGATAGAGTCTGGCACACTGCAGTATAATGGAGTTACAGAGAGGTACAATAGGACAACTGTGGAGAAAGTCAGATGCATGTTGAAGATGACGAAGTTACCTAAGAGCTTTTGGGCTAAAGCTGTTCGCACTGTATGCTACATAATCAACAAGTCTCCTTCAGTTCCTTTGGATTTTGATATTCTAAAGAGGGTTTGCTCCAAAAAAGATATATCATACTCTCATCTGAAGGTGTTCGGTTGCAAGATGTTTACATATATTTTGAAGGAGAGACTGAAGCTTGATGATAGGACGGTTCCTTGCATCTTCCGTAGTTATGAAAAAGATAAGTTCGACTACAAGCTATGGAATCTAGAAAAAAGATGAATTATCAGACAAGCAGATGTGATTTTTCAG